GATTTAAATATATCCTCACAAAAAATTACAATAGATCCAAAGGTATCCAAATTCTAATGCACAATCCAAAACAATGCACTTTACTTCAAACAAAAATGGAAAAAACATATTCTATTAAAGATTTTATCTGTTGTAATACCAAAAAATTAAATTTTCCTTCTGGAGTGTCGTTTGTGGTTTCCAATATGTTGGAATAACCTCCAGATGTATAAAAGTAAGATTAGCAGAACATTGCCGAGATATCACTAGAGGATACCAAAATCATTCTGTGTCTAAACATTTTTCTAAAAACATAGATCAGTTTCGCACTGGGGCCCCATGGATTGTGTGTACGCCACTGTCTGTGCCCTTGGGTTTTTATGTCCACGAAGCATTGTATTGCACTTATCCCCATTAAATGTCAGTTGCCACAGCTCTGACCATTTTTCTAGTTTACCTCAATCATTTGCTATTTGGCTTATCCCTCCTGGAACATCAACACTATTACATATCTTAGTATCATCAGCTAAAAGACATACCTTATCATTAGGACCTTCTCTAGTATCACTAATAAAAAATATTAAAAAGAATGGGTCCAAGTACAGATCCTTGAGGTACCACACTGGTAACAAGACCTTGCTTCGAATATACTCCATCGACTACAACCCTCTGTTGTCTGTCACTCAGCCACTGCCTAACTTATTCAACAATATTGGAATCCAAATGTAAAGGGACACTATAGTCACCAAAACAACTTTAGCTTAATGAAGCAGTTTTGGTGTATAGATCATGCATCAGCAGTCTCATTGCTAAATTCTCTGCCATTTAGGCATTAAATCACTTTATTTATACAACTGTAGTCACACCTCCCTGATTTTCTTATCTCCTGCTCAGATAATTGCTTGCTAGGCCTTGCAGGAGTCTCCTGTCTGTAATTAAAGTTCAATTTACAGAACATGAGATAAAAACTTTTCAAGGAAATTACATCTGATTGAAAACAAAACCTTTTTTTAATTTCAGGCTGTGTCAGTCACAGCCAGGGAAGGCATGGCTAGGGCTACATAAACAGAAACAAAAGTGATTTAACTCCTGAATGGGAGTGAATTAAGCAGTGAAACTTCAGAGGTATGATCTATACATAAAAACTGCTTCATTAGACTAAAGTTGTTTTGGTGACTATAGTGTTCCTTTAAAGATTGCAGTTTATTGATAAGTTTTCTATGCACAATAATGATCCTGAGTTTGAAACATGAAACATGAACTAGGTACAAAAATGTAAAACTCCTTGGAGAGGTGGAGACATTAAAACAATCCTGGGAAGAAAATATATGTATTGGGTTTTTTAACTTTAACCCCAGAAGATGGAAAAAGGAGAGGAAAAAAAGAAGAAAACGAAGAAAATGAGGAAAGGAAAGAAAAGAAACAAAAAAAGGGATTTGGGATAGTGCAGAAGTAACTTTTTTATTGTATGTATTGCGGCTGACGTACTATAGTCATTGCTGCTGCCCAGGAGTAGTGGGAGTTTAAGTATCTCTTTGATCCTTAATTTTGTACATTAGTATTTGTTTTTGAATTATACTTTTTCTTGACTCTTCTAAGCAAATGTCTGTCAGGATAAACACTGTGTTTGCTATATGAGAAGTGTTCCCTTTGATCCAGTAGTGCTTCCACAAAAATAAAATTCACTAGTAATGCTAGTCAGAAAATCCTACCTGTCATTTGACCATGTATAACCTCAAAATATCTTAATTATCTGAACTTTTGCTAAGAACAATATTAATCTTGATCTAACTATGTAACCTTTATCTTATGGTAAAGGTAATCTATTCCTAATTAAATATTACCCCAATCAGTCATTCTTATCATGTAGATCTTTATAATACTGTTGTGTATGCAGAATGCTGAAATGTTGGTCACCTTTGTTTGGATATTTGTGTTCAGATTACATTCTAGAGCCACTTGTAAAAAAAAAAAAAAATAACAACGTATATATCATTATTGATTTAAGGATATTCATAATTGAATTATTCTGCAGAATTTAGATTTTATTCCAACACACAGAGGCAAAGAAACACGCATTAACTGTTTCTTTAATCTTACAGCAGCAAAGAAAAAAATCAAAAGAGTTACACATGCTGTTGAGGAATTTCATGCCAGGAACAAATAAAATTGTAAAATTGCATACAAAGTGTAATAACTGGTATATCACAACAAAGTGAATTAAAACCAAACATATTTTAATTGTTAAAAATAAATAAAACATAAATGTTACAATATTACACAACGCGTTTCACCAATAAAGACTTTTTCAAGCTTTTTCCATTTATTACACTTTGTATGCAATTTTACAATTTTGTTCCTGGCATGCCTAACTTCAGATCTGGACAACTATTTCCCATCATATCCCTGGTGGGGATTATATCACCCATGCGCAGGTATTTGAGCGATTTAATGCTCTATCAAATGTGAGTATAATGTGAGTAGAAGACATTGTTGTACTGCATCACATATTTATGTTTACAGTGAACACTATTGGATTTTTTCTTCTTCTTTTATATACCTACCTGCACATCTAAATATTTGCCTCAAAAGTTATATCCATCAGTGGGGATTGTACCGCTACAAACAATTTTACTACGAGCTAGTTTAAGCTCTATAACATGTGAGTGCTACCTCATATACTACTGTTGTAAGTCCTATTTTTCTGCCAAAACCCTCTGCACTATTATTTGCTATTTTTAGAGTTGAGCGAACCCGGACTGTAAAGTTCAGGTTCGTACCGAACATTAAGTTTTTTGGACCCCGAACCTGAACACGGACATATCACTGTATGTTCGGGTTGGAGTTCGGTGTTCGGCGATTTAATGGCACGTTTTCAAAGGCTGCAGGGCCACCAATCAACAAGCGTTTGACTCGTGTGCCCTTAGAAGCCATCATAACCATGCCTACTAATAGCATGGCTGTGATTGGCCAGTGCAGCATGTGACCCAGCCTCTATATATAAGCTGGAGTTGCGTAGCGCCGCAGGCACATGATCTCTTATTAGTGTAGGGAGAGGATGCTGCAGCTGTGAGGTACAGCTTAGGAAAGAATTATGCAAACTAGTACATTAGTGGGGTGCACTTCATATCTGAGAGTCAAATAGAAGCTTCAAATACCGCGGTTACATCAGAGTTTTAAAAAGTTAATTTTTTTTTGGTGCTAAATAGTACATTAGTGGGATAGAACATTAGTGGGGTGCACTTCATAGCTGAGAGTCAAATAGAATCGTCAAATACTGTTGTCACATTGCAGTTTTAAATCTTATATTTTTTTGGGTGCTAAAAAGTACATTAGTGGGGTGCACTTCATATCTGAGAGTCAAATAGAAGCGTCAAATACTGCTGTCACATTGCAGTGTTAAAACTTATAGTTTTTTTGGGTGCTAAAAAGTACATTAGTGATGTGCACTTCATATCTGAGAGTCAAATAGAAGCGTCAAATACTGCTGTCACATTGCAGTTTTAAAACTTAAAATGTTTTGGGTGCTAAACTGCTAAATAGTATTTTAGTGGGGTGGGCTTCATATATAAGAGTCAAATAGAAGCGTCTAATAGTGTGCTTACAGCGCAGTGGTAAACATTCTAACTGTTTTGCTGCTAATCTGCTAAATAGTACATTTTGGGGCCTGCTTTTCATATCTGAGAGTCAAATAGAAGCGTCTAATAGTGCGCTTAAAGCGCAGTGGTAAACATTCTAACTGTTGTACTGCTAATCTGCTAAATAGTACATTTTGGGGCCTGCTCTTCATATCTGAGAGTCAAATCGAAGCGTAACTTTGATTCAAATTTACTACATAGGTCACTTGTAATATTGTTTCACACCTACAACACTTGTTACACAGATCTAAGTGATAGAAAACAGATTGATATTTTCTACACTAGAAACTACCAGATAACAAGCTGCTATATTTAAACCAGTTATCAATAGCTAAGAGGTACTTAAACAATATTGTAATTCTGGGGCAATACCCTCACAAGTCAAACTGAGAGGTCAGTTTATAGGGAAAACTGTTGCCTAGATACAATTCTAAAACAATTTCCATATCTCCTTTGCAGATTTTACATGCTGGAAAAACACAGGTGCCAACTGCTGTGGCTTTCTGCAGTGTGCATACCGGCAAGGAGGGCAGGGTTGAGGAGTGGGTGGAAGATGATGTCGAGGATGATGAGGTCCTAGACCCCACCTGGAATCAAGATCATGCGAGTAACGTGTGCAGTTTGGAGGAAGAGGCACTGGTCGCACAGAGGCACCAACACAGCATAAGAGGGAGCAGGGTGCAAAAGCGGAGCGGCCATCCCCTAGCGCTCGTCGGCATGTATTAGCTTCAGAATTACCAGTTATCCAAGTAATACATGTAGCGATCAAAGGATCCAGAATAGAGTTGAGCGAACCTGAACTGCAAAGTTCAGGTTTGTACCAGATTTAACGATCCATTCGTAGTTTCACAGTCAGGTGGGCAGTCCAGTGACCAGGACCCAGACACTGTCTGGGCAGCGGTCGGGCGACCGGGACCCAGTATGCCTGATGTTGAAGTTAGGAGTCACAGTGTGGAATGGATTAGCAGGGTCTGGTGCAGGGTAACCGCACACCCCCTGGTATTGAGCACCAGCGTTTGTGCGGCCACATACCAGGACCCTGATGCAGATTCAGTAAAAAGAGTACTGGATACCAGAAGCCATAACCAGACTGATCCGCAACTTGGAACAGGAGGTGAAATTCACTGTAGCGGCTGTGCGCGCTTTCGGCATTCTCACCCTGCTGCTGTTCGCCTGTCTGCGCTGCAGTGTAACTTCGGCCTTCCCACTCACCGCCTCATGAGACTGTGCGAGCAGCAGCAGGCGATAGTGGAGTTTCAGCTGCAGCACGCACAGGTCAGTGGCTCTACACCAGACTTCCCTCCAACTGATCAGAGTTAAAGGATTTCAAGTGGACTCATTACAATTACAGGGCCTCTAATGAGACCTGTATAGATATTTGTCGTCACTACCTTCCCACATCGGGAGTGGGTCATTTGCGCGCCTGCTGCCTTCCTTACATGTGGTAGCCGTTTCTCAGGGTCCCTGTATGGAATTGAAACCCTGATTCCCCGTTACCCGTGGTCACCATGGTAGGCGCAGAAACTGGCATCGAAAGTTGAAATGGATGACATCCGAATGCAAAGTCGCCGTCACGGGGATGTGCAATTGGCCCGAGGTTCTCTAGAGTCAACAAAGTGCCTGTGCAACTTATATTTTGGGGGCTACCCCAATTAAAGTAAAAAATAGATATATATAAACAGTGTTGGCTACCTCCTTTTCCTCCACCGCTGCTTCCACCTACACCACCACGGTCACTGCCTCTTCAAACTATGGGTCAGTCACTTAGTATAAACTATGTACACATTAGCAGAGGCTTGTGAAGGCCTTTTCTCCATGCATCAGGAGTTGAGCATTTCTCCATGCATCAGGAATGCAAGAAATGCACCGCAGGCTGCAAATGTTTATTTTTTTTGTATGTCCCAATATTTTGGGGGCTACCCCAATTAAAATAAAAAATAGTTATATATATATATATATATATATATAAACAGTGTTGGCTATTTCATCCTCCTCCTCCACCGCTGCTTCCACCTACACCGCCACGGTCACCGCCTCCTCAACCTATGGGCCAGTCACTTAGTATAAACTATGTACACAATAGCAGAGGCTTGTGAAGGCCTTTTCTCTATGCATCAGGAGTTGAGCATTTCTCCATGCATCAGGACTGCAAGAAATGCACCGCAGGCCGCAAATGTTTCTTTTTTTATATGTCCCAATATTTTGGGGGCTATCCCAATTAAAATAAAAAACAGTGTTGGCTACCTCCTCCTCCTCCACCGTCAGTCACTTAGTATAAACTATGTACACAATAGCAGAGGCTTGTGAAGGCCTTTTCTCCATGCATCAGGAGTTGAGCTCAGTTTGAACAATGAAAGAGAATACCCTGCACTCCAACCCTCTCTCAAATGGATAATTATGGTGATCCTCCTGACAGCCATGCTTTAGATTTTGATTTATATGTTTTTTTAAGTGATTTCCCTATGCACATTTGTTTGCAGGACACTTGTCCTACTCTTACCCCCATTTTACTTCCTTTTGCAGCTCTCTAGCCCTTTCCAGGAGTTTTTTAGAGGCATTTTTGTGCCCAAAAGTTCGGGTCCCCATTGACTTCAATGGGATTTGGGGTCAAGTTCGGGGTCAAGTTCGAGCCCAAACCCAGACTCTTTTTCAAAGTTCGGCAGAACCCACTTGACCCGAACATCCAGGTGTCCGCTCTACTCTGGTCATTTTGTGTCTCCTTACATATATTTACAAGCACCTTAACAAAGAACAAACATTCCCCAAGAATCCAGAAACCTCTGGGATTGTGATATTTGGACTGTGAATATTTGGACTTTTTTATATTGTTATAATATTCTATCTTTTCTCACCTTTTGGTGCAGCATGTTTTTATTTTTATTTTATACTGTCGATCTTCAAGGTTTGAGGGTATGCCCTATACCCAGTGTTTGCTGCCCAAGTCTAGTCAGTTATTTCCTTTGCGTTTATCCATTTTTCTGTTTTCGTAATGAACACAGTGTTTTACATACCCCTTCCATCATGACATCAGCCCTGTAAAACACCAAGATATTCCCCAGCATTTCCTCTTTCTTCCAATAGGCTTATATCTTATATCGTAAAAATATCTGCTATTATTTTAGGTGTGAGGTTAGAATAGGACTAAAAACTTCCTTAACTTTGACTCAAAGCACAAAAATACTATCAATTAAGTCAAGAAATGTAAATGAAATACTATGCTCCAATTCTAATTAATGGTTTATAATCAAACAATAGCTGTTGCTGGTAGTCTCAAAACAATCTTAAAAAGTCGCAAATAATAGTGCAAATCATTATTGGAAAATGTCTTAAGGACAGGAAAACATGATACAATAAAAAGGGCTGTATGTATTAAAGGGCTGATTTATTTTATTTGCATAAATACTGAGTGTGTAATTAATAATCAGCTCTCTTTCTCTCTGACAAATCTTGCTCAGTGTAATAATTATATAGCTGTGTATGTAGAAGATGCATTCTAGAATATTTATATTTATTTATTTTGTCTGATATATTTCAAATCAACAATTTGCACACCTGAATCAGAATGTAAAACCTAAAAAATATTTAAATCCCAAGTGTCAGTTTTAGGAAGGACAGTCCCTAATTTGGTCCCAAACCCCCCTGTCCCTCTTTTCTCTCATAATGATCCACAGCAATAATACTCACAGTAATGTGTCTTTAATACAATACATGTAAATAAGATACATTGTTCAGTTTCCATCATGCTTTGTCACTCTAAATGCATGAAAAGCATCATGGTAATTGTAGTTCTACAACATCTATGGATCTACCTTTTGGGCAATCATTTTCTAAATTGTATTTTAGCTCCATAAATTGTCACTTTTGTAAACCATCTTGCTTCCTCTCCTGCAACTGTCATCCCATACCTTTAAGGGACACTCCAGACTTAAAAAAAAAAAAGTCATATCAATGAAGTTATGGTGCAGCACTCCTACCAATTGCATTCAAAGTTGTCCAGACCCCCCACCCCTACCCCTCCAGGATGCATCAGGCTTCAGAATATTCAGATTTGGAAAGCATGGAGTGCCACCAGGCAGGGCAGCTGATTGGCTGAAAGCAGTCAGCTTATGCTCTCAGACAATCAGTGAGTCACCATTAACTAATCTGGCTTGGGAAAAGTATGTTTCTTTTTATCAGCAGTATATAACATTCAGTCCTGAATAATATTATACCTACTTCCACACAAGCGTTGCTATGGAGATCACTCATTGTGCACCAGTAAAATATCATAAATACACAAAAATACATAAATCATTGATGTACAGTACCATATTAAATACAATATTTTGTCAGTATGTTTAATAAGATATTAAATATATTAACATGTGGCATCTTATATCACTATTCAAAAGGTGACATATTCCTAACACTATAGTGTCCCTCTGCCTCTATGGCCCCTTTGTGGCAAAGAGTAAAATATCCTTTAAACACTTCCTTGTTTACAGCTCCATGGTACCTCAATGCAGGCTCCACTCTACCTCCACTGGTGATACATAAGAGTGGGAAAAACAATGTGCATGTGCAGCAAGTGCTGCTTGCGCATTAGGCTTTCCCCATAGGAATCAATGCTTTTTCTATTTGGAATTGCAAGGTGCTGGACATCCTCATGCAAACGTGAGGATGTCCAGTTTCGTTTCACAGATGTAAACTGTGTGACACGGCAGGAAGTACTTCCAGTGGCAGTCTGGTAGACAGCCACAAGAGGCAGTCTTTACACTGCAATGTAAACATTTCAGTTTCTATAAAACCGCAATGTTTTCAGCTGCAGGATTAAGAGGACAGGGTCACTTTACCCAGACCACTTTAATGAGATGAAGTGGTCTGAGTGCCTATAGCTATTCATTTTTCCCGCGGAAACCCTTTGACATAATGCGATAACAACGTGGAACCCCAACATTTTTTGCCGCCGTAACGCAGGTATGCTTTTGTGTGTACAGTTGGTGTTTGTATATAATGTTAGCGTTTTTATACAGTTGTGTGTTTGTATGTAATGTTTGTATTCGCGTGCAGGGGTGTGTTTGGATGTAGTGTTGGCTTTCGAATGCATATGTACATTTGTGTGTAGTATTAGTGTTTGTGCGTTTGAGTGAAGGGTGTGTTTGAGTGTTTGTATATAGATTTTAAATTTGAATCCAGGGGTTTTTGTATGTAATGTTTGCGTTTGCAGGAGTGTGTTTGCATGTTGTGTTGGTGTTTAATTGCTGGGATGTATGCACATATACTGCCACGTACATACATACGTACGTACACAAACAAATTAACACACAGACAAACATAGAAAAACATTGACACATACACACATTCATATACACACTGACATAAACACACAGACACAAAGATACACACCTTAACACATGCACAGACCTTAACCCACAGATACACACTGGAACATACTCACACACACACACACACACACAAATACACACATACTGACATACACACTCTCAGATACACACCGTTACACATACACAAACCTTGACACACGCGGACACAAACTCTCAGATGCGAACATTGGCACATGCAAACACTGGCCCATACACACACACCTTGACACATACACACACTCAGATACACACACCTTGACACATACACACACTCAGATACACACACATAGACACACAGACACACACACTGTCACATATACACACTCAGATACACAAAATAACACATACACAAACCTTGACCCACAGATAAACACAATGACACATACAAACACACACACACACACACACACACACACACCTTGACATACAGATACACACACTCAGATACAGATACTGGCACATACACAACCAGATGCACACAATGACACACACACATTGACACACAAATACACACATACTCAGATACACACAGTGACACATACACACACTTGCACCCACAGATACACACACTGGCACATACACACACTTACACACACATTGACTCACACACACACACACACCTTGAAACACAGATACACACACTGTGATATACACACTAGCACACACATATACACATTGGCACATGAAAACACACATATATACACACACACACACTGTCATACACACACACTGGCACATACACACACTGGCACATACACACAATCTGACATACATCTGAGCCACCCTACTGTTAACTTACCTTGTGGTCCTGGTGATGCTGGCTGAGGCTGACATGAGTGAGCTGCTGCATACTCACTCCAGCCTCTCCTCTGCCATGCATGCTGCTCCCTCTCTGGGCTGCCATCATCAGCCTTCTCCTCCTTCCCTACTGCGCGGCAGCAACTCTATGAAGCTGGGAGGAAGTGATGTCAGTATATATCTAAATTCTCTAAATATCCAAATACATTCCTGAAACATAATAAATAATAAAAACGCAAATTATACAACTGACACATATATTGATAACCTATTTGTTAAATATTTTTCCAGAAGTCTCCCTTTGCCAAATAAATAATAATAATATATATCTTTAAAAAAAACATACCCCTATGGTCTGAAGGGATAAATTATTCACAATTAATTTTGGATATTTCACCTGAAATATATTCATTTAAATATATAAATTTTCTTGTGTGTTTTGATTTCATGTTGGATGCAAGAGGAATACCTACATGAGTGTGAGAACAGCGAATTTATTAAAATTTTAATTATTGTTATAAGTGCCATGTCTGCTAGGTGTGCACTATTTTTTCTATTGAGGTAACTTTGCCAATGCTGGAGTTTTG